AGATGGTGATGGTCATATGAGATAAGAAACAACGTAACAAAATGGATGCACAAAGAGTCAATAATCAAACAACCTTCCAAACCCTAGTTCGCAAATTATTCTCGACCACATTAATAACCACCTCTGCAAACTAGTCATGAGTATTATCCATATTATAACACACCATGGTGACTACTTTCTACAATGAGAAAGCACCCCTCAAAACCATGTCGGCCACCAAAAGAATTAGCAAAAACCCAAGAACCATATTCATACCTTGGCACCGAAAATCCAACATAGAGAGAGTCCCGTTGTCCTCTAGGGCCCTCTAGCGCCACTTACTCGAGAGAGCAAGATTAACCTTCCTTTGATCCCTGATTTCTAAATCCACCAATTCTTTGGATTTTCAAACATCAAGCTTTCAACAAACCTAAGTGATAGTCTTCTCACCTTAGGACCCATCACAGGGAAATTGCCTATGCAAAGCAACAACCTTTTTCAAGGATGACACTCAAAACAAAATTTAAAAGAACCACCCCCTTAGGCTAAAAAACTTATACTCCACGAACTAAAACATATTAGTGTGGAGCCTATTCAAAGGCTTTGAAGTCACCTTCTTCCTAGGATTGACCTCCACCAGAATCCAAAGATACTTTAAAAGAAGAGATCCGATTATACAACTCAGAAAAGACTGCATTAACTCCATTAAAAACACCTTCTCATTGGCACCATAAATAAATATTTTGGAAAAATTAACCCTTAACCCTGACGCCAACTCAAAGCTCTTGAGAACAAACTTGATCATCTAAAGGTTATCTACTAAGGTGTCACCCAAAATAGTCGACCATCCGCATACTGGAGGTGCGAGACTACCAGACACTCGTTTCCCACCTTGAATCCAGAAAAAGCTCAACGATCACATGTCCTAATGCAGTGCTAAGGCTCTCCACCATTAAAAAACAAGAACAATGCTTAAAGTCCCATTATTTAAGCCCTTTCTGGATACTAACCTCCTCAATAGGGTACCCTTAACCAAGACCAAAAATATATTCAAAATGTCACAAGCTCTTATCTAGGCTCTCCACAAGTCTTTTTTCATCATATAATCAAGGAAGGACCAATGAAGAAAATCATTGATCTTTTAAAAGTCCACTTTAAAAATAAAAGACTCTTTATTTGAACCCTTGACTCAGTGAATATATAGATGTATTTCCATTTCATAAATATAAAATGGAGGATATAACACACATAATATTAATAAAAAGAGAAAGTGCACAATTAAAAAATAAAAAGTGACAATATTTTTTTTTTAAAAAAGTGACTACTATTGTGGGAAAGAGAGAACATATTTCAACATTTCACTTGTAAGAGTTGAGTATATGCTTAGTCTGTGTAAAAAAGCTTCAGCCAAGTTTAATCCTTAAAATTAACTCTCATCATAGATGTTTATTTTCAATTAATTTAATTAAAAATTTTCATCACTACTTTATCATAGGGAGACTAAATATAAATGTTTTTTTAAACATATAATACAGAGAATTAATCGAATCTTAAAAATATATATTAATCGGAAAAAAAAAAACTTACTCCAACTTTTACTTATTAAAATACCACCTTATTTTTTATATATACACACAGTAAAAAGGTTCACCAAATTAAAAAAAAAAAAAAATATAATGCATCTAATATTTCCATCTAAAAAAAGTAAACCATTAATATTTTTAATAAATTTTAATAAAATACCATATCAACTCCAAATATTTTATTACTATAAAATCATTGTTTTTAATTAAATTTTTTTGAAATCCACTTTTAACAAGTTCTATATTATAAAACCCTATACAAATAATACAGTAGTTTATAACCAGAAATAAAACCAGTATATATATATATATATATATATATATATATATATATATATATATATATATATATATATATATATATATATATATATATATATATATATATATATATATATATATATATATATATATATATATATATATATATATATATATATATATATATATATATATATATATATATATATATATATATATATATATATATATATATATATATATAAAGACATGTTAGGGTAACCTAACTGAAGCACTTAATAACTGTTATTATAAAAATGACCATTTATAGAATTTCAAAACAAATATTTATTAAACTCTTAAAGCAAAAATTTCTGCAAACACTAGATAGTTATACCATACATTAAACATGAAAATAAAATAAAAATAACACAACATTCTAGCATTCTGTTTTTTCCTTCAATTTACTGTTATATTTTCCAAGTTAACAATTTCAGTAAAAAGTTTTACACACAAAAACACAGAACCCTAAGCTTTATTGAGAGACAAAGTAAACAGAAGTTGCAAGTACTCTGAAACTTCTGTCTTGTTTGTTCAGTTATCTTTAAAAGAACGTATAGTACTATCCATAATGTGATTGATTAATATGTCAAAGTTTTTTTTCTTCTCAAACACTAACCAATCTACTCTTTTGAATTTCGTTACTTTAGACAGAGATTTTTGTTTAGTTATTTTCATGTGTAAGCTTTTTTTAGTGTCTGAGAAAAAACAGTGACATGTACTGTTTTTTAGAAGACTAATAATCCATGGTTGTTGATGTGCTTCCAAACGCGCATGCACTAGTACGAATCTATCTATGAAAAAAGATTAATAATGAAGGAAAAGTAATATATAAAAGCTAAATATTATCTCCTTGGTTTTATGATGAACCTATAGTAAGATAAATATTTGAACATTTATGTGGTATCATATCATATATTATTTTGTTTGTGGTGAATTCAAATTGAGATTTGAGTTGAATAATTTTTTAATTAGTTGAGCCGAGCTTATGCGAGTTCAGTTGATTTTGACTCATTTTTAACCCTAATCGTATTAGATAATTTTATTATTCGTTTGTTTGTTATTTTTGTATATTTTTTTTATATTTTTTATATGAAAACAATTATTGTTTTATATATGTGTAAATTTTACTAATCGTATCATATGATTTTATTGTTCGTTGTTTTTGTATAATTTTGATTTTATACATGAAAACAATTATTCTTTTTTGTATGTTCAAATTTTATTACTTAAAGTGATAATTTTATATTTATAGACTTTAAATGTATTGAAAATTATTAAGTTTAATAATCTTTTAATTATTTGTTTAAAACACCTCTCAATTTGTATACAAGAAAAAGACTAAAATTCTATTATGGTTGGTAAATAATGTAAGAACACAATGGTTTCATTTTATATACTTTGGAAATTTAAAATTATTCAAGTTCCAACTGCTGATCATAATTGGAATGATTGTAATCACAACTATATTAGTATCTCAAGTATTATTTAAAATTATATTTATATATGCGGTCATTTTATGTTGTTAAATAATTCTTGAATCGGTCATTTATATTTTATGTTGTTAAATAATTCTGTTAAAATTAAAATAAACAAATAAATGAGTGTATGATATTTAAAGGTTAAGATAATTCACATAAATATGTCAAGTTAGTCTTTTTTTTTTCTCTTAATATAAATTGTTAAATCCAAAAACATTAAAACCTACATACTTTTTAAAAAAAAACAAATATTTATTTAAAAGTAACGATTTGAATTCAAGTAACTCATCTCTAGTATGAAGCATGATGAATGAACAAAATTTGTCTTTTGCATAGTCTAAAGATATAACTTAAAGGATACCAATGTAAATAATATTGTATATAAAGGTTAAAAATGCAATTTAACATAAAAAATTAATTCATTAAGAACAAATTTATTCGACTAATTTAAAATAATTTTCAAACTGGAAAGACTACATATGGAACTTTGTCTATAAAATAGAAATTAATATAGTAGTTCTCTACATTATAACTTCTAAAAATAATTTCTTAAATTTCAAAATGTTAATTTATTAATGTTCGACAATAATATATAATTTTTTTAAATTTGAAAAAAAAATCATTAATAGATATTATTTCCAATTTTTATTATAAGATCATAATCAGTGTTTTTTTATATTTTATTTAGAAGAAAATGTCAAAAATTTTAAAACATTTTTATCATTTAAAAGACGATTTTACTCACATTTAATTTTCTTAAAACTATTTATAGATTTATTTGTCTCGCTGTTTCTAATAAAATATGTTTTACATTTTATTTTAAAATAGCTGATTTAAAAATATTTACAATTTATTTATATTAATACATAAACATAAATTTAACTCTAATTCAACTAAAACAGAATTAAAAAAAACTCAACTAAATATCAATTGATATGGGAAGTTGAAGGATTAGAGGAAGTATAATTTTGAAATATCAAACATATAGGAAGACTAAGGAAACCATTCTTATAATTTTATATAATAAATTGAGTATTTTCTAGAAAATAAATTTATCTTCAAACAAAGGTTTAAGAATGAAGCTATATATATATATATATATATATATATATATATATATATATATATATATATATATATATATATATATATATATATATATATATATATATATATATATATATATATATATATATATATATATATATATATATATATATATATATATATATAAAATAAAATAAAATAAAAAGGCTAAACACTAAACTTTGGCCATGAAATTGTAAGACAGTATCAATCTAAAATTCTGCAAACATGTTATCTAGATTAGAGAAAAAAACCAAAAATTGCAAGTTTATTATATGACTCAAACATTAAATTATCAAATGAAAAAGAGCTTCTAAACCACTCACTCTTAGAAAGGCAATAGATTCAAACTAAAGGGTTTGCCAAAAATTGCAAGAAACTATGAAAAAAATAATCCAAACAAGCACTCAAAAAAAAAAAAAACAATAAGTGATGATTATTCAAATCCCAATATATAACTATAACTAAAGAAACTAGTTTTCTCATCAGACAATCTTCAAGAACCATGCAAATTTTGAGAAGAGGAGAATTCAAATAAGATAACCTTTTGTATTTGTGTCTTTAAGCAAGATCACTTGGGAGAGAAGCCTTGTTCTTTATTTGATGAATTTTGTAGAAATTTGGCCAAACTGAAAGATGGATTGTTGAGAGAATTATTCATCGGGTTTTGCGAACTCGACGAACTCAGCATTTGATGATAATGATTGTTGATTTGTCTTTGATGATGTTGATGATGTTCCATCTCCATTGCATTGACATTTGAAGAAAAATATGATTGTGATGTTCCAAACAACATTTGAGAAGAATTTCCAGTTGATAAAGACAACATAGGTGGCAAAGATGTAATTGCATTAACATCTTCTTGATTTGCAAAACCTTCATTTGAAGAAGAAACTCCCCAATTGTAATTAGAACCAAATGGCATAGTATTAAACAAACCAAGAAATGAAGGGTGATTTGGTCTTTGCAAGAAATTGTTACTATTAGGTAAAACAATTGCACTAGGAACATCAACATCAACATCAACATTGTTACTACCTTGTTTTGTGTTAACATTTTCCTCTTCTTGAGTACTAGTACTTCTATTATTCATCCAATAATTTCCTTTTTCCATAACCATTTCTCTCGAAACCTCTTTCGATTCATGGCTAGAAGACGAACCGTCCCAATGAATATTGTTACCCCTATTGAAATTCAACAAGTGTTGATGAGTTTGAGAAGTGTTTGCGTCCGTGTTGGCGATGGTGATTGATTCGTTAGACGGATAAGGAAAACCGAAGTTGAAATTTGTTCCTAGAGGTGGAAAATTAGGTAAAGGTGGAAGTTGATCAATCTCATGTTTAGCAATATTAAGTAACCAATCAACAACTTTACTAGGTTGATTAAGCCCTAACCTATCTTGAAGATCATAAAGTTGAATAGCTGTTGGAACCGAAAGCCTTATTCTTCTATCTCTTAATCCTCTTATAGTGCAAACTTTGCTATGTCTATCTTTTCCACCAAAGGCTCTTGAAACTCTAACAATTCTTGGATCTTTCAATCTCGGCCATTGCGATGAAGATAACGAGTTTAACGATGACGATGAAGCCTTTTCTTTTTCTTGTTGATCATTTGAGTTTTGGTGAATCTCTTGTTTCAATGGAAATTGATCAACTTCTTTTGAATTCTTGTTCATCTTGTAATTTCTTTCATTGTTGGTTGCTAGGTGAAGAATTTTTTGCTTCAACTTTTAGAAGGTTCATTCTGCTCCAAAATCAACAAAAAAAAAAACATAATAAGAAATAGGTAAAACATATAAATAAGTAAATGACATAGATTGATGTATAATATTTTTTACTATATGTAAAGAAACTTAAAAGGGGTATAGTTAATATCTAATGCATTAAATGTTCTCTAAAAAAATATAATTCATTAACAAATATTATAAATAATTGAAACTTGCCTATATACCATATATACACACATATAAATTTGCATCAAATTTAGTTTCATTTAAAAGAGGAAATAGTAATAAATAAATAAAAATGAAGGGAAAAGGGGTTTTGAATAAGCATGCACAACTAAAGCATGTTAAAATTGATAGAACCATAAAGAAAAAATAAAAGAAAGAAAGAAAAAGAACATGTTAAAGTTGAAAATACAACTACAAACCCTAGTTATTGAAACCATATATAAAGAACTATATATACATCTAGAAACCATATATGAAGAACTATAGAGTTATAGTTGATAATATAAGAACCTTATGAGTAGTGAATGATGAAATTTGAACTATGTTTTTGGATAGAGGGTAGAGAAAAGTTTGAAACTTTGAAGTTTGGTTTTGGATTTGATAGGTTTGAAAATAATGTTGAAGAAGAAGAAGTTGAGTTGAACCTTCAAGGTTGGAAAAAGGAAGATGCCGGAATTGAATAAAAACCATAGCGCACTAAAAGATAAAGCAAAGGTGTATGAGTTGCCACGTGGCATGTATTCCTATTTGTCAAATGTATATGGAAGTCTACATCTTATCATTTTATGGCAATGCATAATGGACAATCATTTCATTCATAATTATCATTATGTACAAATATGGTTTATATTTATTCTTAAAATTTGGCCGGTTAGGGTCAATAACTTATTGAATTTATCATTGGTTTAAATCAAGAAATCGAGTTCATAATATAGAACAATCGAGTCGGGTTTCGACAAATAAAATGTCATAATTTAACGGTGGTATTTGAATTCTTGTTTTTTATTTTAATAAGATTTATATTAGTAAATATTCTAACGTTCAAGTTAACAGAGATCAGGAATGTAAAATTTATAGTTTAGAATAATATGTATATTTGATTAAGAATCGTATACATATATGTTCGTCTTGTTTATTTTTGTCCAATAAAAAATTGTAAAAAAGTAGAACGAGATTTACATAATAATAGAATGTATAACCCTAAAAGCATAATTTTGTTCATAAAAAAAATAAATAATAATAATAAGGTGGACGCGACCAACATGCTTCCATAACATTTAAAAATTGCAAAAAATCATGTTAAGTCGCATTGTGAAATTTAGAAAAAAAAATGGCAAAATAGATACAATAAAAAATTGCAGACGTAAAACCTTGCCTCATTTTAAAAAATAAACAAATATACGACGCTCGGCGGTTGTATTGGGCATGTTTTTGATATGAAGCTTATATAGTATTAAAATGTGGTATTAGATTTGAGTTAGAAAACAAAATTATTATAAAAAATATTAATATATCTTTGCTCAAAGAAATTAATCTTTTAGTCGCGAATTATTAATGTCGTTGCAAATGATCAAAAGAATTTCAAATATTTATATTTTTAAATTGTTTAGAAAAAACTATGAATTTTAATCTAATTAAAAAATAAAGTCGTGTTAAATATTTTAAAAATCTATAAATTCGAGAAATTAATCTTTACAGTTTAAAATAGATATTATCAATTTTGACAGAAACTATCAACATCATTTATGTTAGGTTGATAAATTTTATTTGAAATTGTAAGCCATCCTTGTCAACATGTTTATATTTGGGCATTATGTATAAAATGTTACTTAAGGGGGTGAAAATCATGAAGTGAGTAAACCCTAAAAAGGGGACCATTTTTACACATATCGAAAAGTGGCTAGAGTACACACTTTATCGACATCTACGAAAGTTTAATCACTGAGCACATCACATGGAGTTAACGGATCCAAGCCAAACAGCATCAAAGAAAATATAATCAAACTCTTTGTCAACTTCTAGTGTAATTACTTTGACTCAATCTAATCTATTATAGCTTTTGAAACTAGTTCAATGGTGAATTGTTATTATTTTAGTAAAAAACGAATTTAAAAATAATATGAAAAATTAGATAAATTATAAAATTTATTAAAAACTAATTGTACACTCGTGCGATGCACGGTTATGTTTATTTGAATGTTAATGATAATTACTATAGTCTTAAAAAGAAATTTGAAATATTTGATATAAATAATTTTGATATAAGTAGGGCTGGAAATGAGTCGAGTCGAGTCGAACTCACCTCAGCTCGGCTCGACTCGTTAAGAATTGTTCGAATTCGAGTTCGAATTCGAGTTCGACACGAACTTTTTTTTAAGCTCAAACTCGACTCGTTATAAGTTCACGAACAGTTCGGTTCGACTCGTTAGGTTCATCTCATTAGGTTCATCTCACATGGTTCACGAACTTAAAAACTATTTTTTTAAATATATATATTTTTTAGTATATTTGACATTTTAAATAAATATATATTTTTTAAATAAAATATTAAAATAAAATAAAAGTTATCATATTGAAATTTAACTTTATCTTTGAAATCTACTAATTCAAAACCTACACAACTTTCAAGAGATACATTTGAGAGTCTAATTCAAAAACTACTAAATTGAAGATTAAATTTGTCTAAGTTTTGAAGTAAATATTTAAACCTAATCTTAAAGACAATATAATTCTTTTCATATGTAACCGAGTTGACTCATGAACCTAACGAGTCGAACTATGTATAGTTCAAGTTCAGCTCATTTAGTTAACGAACTTAATTTTTCGCTCATACTCAACTCATTTGGTTCATGAACCTAGTTCAACGATTTAATTGTCGAGTCGAATTCCGAACTATCTTCGAGTTGGTTTGGTTCATTGCCAGCCCTAGATATAAGTTGCGTATGTAATTTAAAATGTAAATTAGTTGTTTTGAAATGTTGTTGTTTTTATTTGTACATGGGTGAACATGAATGAAATGGATAGTCTTTTGTAGTTTTCATTGTGCTGGTGGGTGTGTGTAGCGGATTATCTGGTGGGTTTAATCATTTAACCTTTTACTTTTTTTAATTAATTAACTAAAGAGGTAGATTTATAGTAATGCAAAATGAGTTAATGAATTAATATTAATATAATTAATTATTATGAGTTCATTTATAGAAAGAGAATTTTGGTGAAAAAGTTATAGGATTATAAATAATAATGAAAATTAATTAATGAGTTAATTAATGGAAAGAGAGTTTTGACGGAAAGTTTTATGGAAGAAGTTATAGGATTATAATTTAGTATAATGATAAAATATAATTTTTGATCAAATTTAATATATATATATATATATATATATATATATATATATATATATATATATATATATATATATATATATATATATATATATATATATATATATATATATATATATATATATATATATATTCAAAGGTAAGCAAAACAAGCAAAACTACCTACGCAAACATTAGAGTTAAGAACAACATCTAAAACCCTGACAAACAAAACTATTAGGAAGAAAATCTTCTCATAACCACTAGCTTATGGAATGCTGATGAGACATCCAAAAAAACTCGAGAAGTAATTTGGTCATCCAATATATACACATATGCCTAAACACATAAGAGGGTTCTGTTCTCAGTCCCTAGTAGTGAAAAAGCTACCTGAAAAATGAGATTTAACCTACTTTTCAAAAAGGCATATAATATTGCATACCACATTATTCATTAAGGCACTTTATTAAAAAAAAAACTAACATATTATGAGCCTTCTAAATAATTCAAATCACCAAATGTCAAATTGAAATCAGGCATAAAAATATCAAACAAGCCTAAAATCGAGTGAGGCATAACATACTCGCGGAGCCATCTAAAACCTTTAAACCAAATAGTTCATGTGAAATCATAGAAAAGAAACAAATGATTAACAAACTCAACCTAACCTAAGCACAATGTGTAATTTCCCATAAGGATTGACTAAAACCATATGCCTAAGAAGTTATTGCATAATTGTATCCTATCCTACAACAACTTCTAAGAGAAAGCTATCATTGTGGAAAATTCCCCACACCTCCATCCATTGAGTAGAATCTAGATAACTTGATTCATCCACTCCTCTTTCTCCACAACACATTTAAAAGACGAATATAGGCATATCTCACAGAGAATCCTTCCTTCCTATCCAGATTAGACTTCCAAACATATTCTTGAGATGGTTTCACCAAACAAGCAAGAGGCTCTTCCTCCCAAATAAAAGTGGATTCCTGTAGAGAAAATCCTACACCTACTTACCATTAACCCAAGATCCAATACAACTTACTATTTGAGTTTAATGTTCAGAAATAAGGAACATCCTCTCAAAAGACACACAAAGTGATCTATGATCCATCCATGCATCCTACATAAAATATGGATTTTCAAACTATTTATGACCATTTTACTAACACCGTCAGCAAACCAATAAATGTTCTCACTCCATATATATGGGCTACCGGCCAGCATCCTCAACCGCCACTTACTTAAAAGAGCAAGGTTGATATGTTTCAAACCCCGCACATGGAGATTGCCCCATTTCTTTAGCCTTATACACATCTTCCTAACAATCCCAAGAAACCTTCACCCCTCCTATACCCCCACCCCAAAGAAAATGCCTTTGCATATCAATAAGTTTTTTCTAGACCAAAATCGGAATCTTCAAGAATAAGTGAAAGAAGATAGGAATGACATTAAAGACAAAGTTAAGAAGAAAAACTCTTCCACTAAGACTATCGAACCCGTTCCTCCACTATGATAATTTCTTAGTGAAAAAATTGATAAGAGGTTTCCAAGTCTCCTTCCTCTTAAGGTCAATACCGCGAATGAAATCCTTAGGTAACTCAAAAGAAAGATTCATCCACATTAATACACAATAGACAACTTTTAGCAATATTAACTCCTAACCTCAACGCCAACTCAAAATTTCTAAGGGTTGACTTCATATCCCAAAGATTATGAACCGATGTCTCACCCACAATAACAATATCATTTGCATATTGTAGGTTAGACACCATTAACCCTTATAAGCCCAATTTTAACATAGAAAAAGACCCAATTGACATCAGCTTACACAAATAAGAACATAACCCCGTCCCCACCAACAGAAATAAGAATGACATCGAATGATCCCCTTGTTTGAGAACACAATACATATTAATCTCTCAAGTTGGAAACCCGTTAACTACAACTGAGATGCTCCCTACGAAAACATATGCTTTATTCTAAGAACGCCACTCGCCCATCATTCCCACACCTCCCCAACTTATAGTAAAAAAAAACAACCAACTAACCAAATCATGGGCCTTTTTAAAATCCATTTTGGAGATAAGGCATTCTCACTTCGAAATTTTAACTAAGTCAATAACCTCATTCAACACCGCTACCCAATCAACCAACTTCCTTCGTTTGAGAAAGTATGATTGAATCAAGATAGATGCCTTATTATTACATGTATTTTTCTATAATTTTGAATTTAGAACTATAGGTTATCGCATTAGATGCAAGACCGATAATTATTTTTTAAGATTCGTGATATAATTTAAGAGAGTTGCTTAGTACTTGAAAGTTTAATAAGATATAATTATTTTAAAAGCATACTTTAAAAGTTAA